TTGTGCATACATCATTATTTACCTCTGTCCCACTTAGCCCATGCAAACCTGCCTAATTGTTCTCCCATCTGCTTTGTTCTTCCATTCTCCTCCCCCTTCTTGTAATGTACCTCCCCTCCCCAGCACCCATACTATCCTGTGTCTATTTCCTGCCCTATGCTCCACCTTCCCCTCCCTCCCCTCACCCCACCGAGCAACCAGCAAGGAACCCCTCCCCCCCTTTTAGTATGGCTTTTTTTTCTTAGCCTTTTCTATGGTCCTATGCAGTATTTCTTCTTTTGTGACTGACGAATTTCAGTAAACAAAATGTCCTCAAGGTTCATCCATGTTATGCGGTGGCTTGCAGCCTCCTTATTCTTCAAGCTAGCATAATATTCCGTTGTGTTTATGTACCACAGTTTTTTATCCATTCTTTAGTTGATGGGCACTCTGGGTTTCTCCATCTTTTTGCTATTGTAGATAGTGCTGCTATGAACATTGGTGTGCATATATCTTCTTGTGTTGTGGCTTATTTTTCTTGTGGGTAAATACCAAGTAGAGGAATTGCTGGATCATAAAGTATTTGAATTTACAACCTTCTGAGGAATTGCCATATTGCATTCCAGAGAAGTTGGACCATTTTGCAGTCCCACCAGCAATGCAAGAGTATCCTAGTCTCTCCACATCCCTGTCAGCATTTATTGTCCTCTATAGTTTTCATCATTGCTGTTATTGTTGGTGTGAGATGATATCTCATTGTTGTTTCAGTTTGCATCTCTCTAATGGTTAGTGATCGTGAACATTTCTTCATATGTTTGTTGGCTGCCCTTGGTGATCTCTTCCTTGGATCTCTTCCTTGGTGAAGTGTCTGTTCATATCCCGTGCTCACTTTTTAATTGAGTTATGTGTCTTTTTCTTGTAGAGGTGTTGTAGTTTCCTTTATGTTTTAGAAATAAGTCTCTTGTCTGATGTGCCATTGCAAAAGATTTGTTCCCATTCTGTGGGTTCCCTTTTTACTCTTCTGGTGAAGTCTTTTGATGCACATAAGTTTTTTATGTTTAGTATGTCCCACTCATCTATTTTGTCTACTTTTGTTTTTGTGGTTTTCAAAATATTTTGTAGTCCATGTATTCCCTGAATTAGTGCCCTCACAGTTGTT